ATGAGAATAACATGGGTTTGGATCTTACCAGGTGAACTCAGAGAGCAACTTCATCAGAGAAAGTTTCACTTCCAGTTATTTGGTGAGGACATTGGTTGTTTCCATTCATAGTGGAAGAACGTTGGCCAACAAAGTACTCTTGGTTACTTATACTTCCTCTTTAAACCTGGCCTCATCCTCCTGAGTCTAATCTCACTGTATCTCAACAAATTGCCTTCTCCAACCTCCTCTCGGCTCCTTGTGTTTGCATCAACTGACTTAGAGCATCTGTCCGCAGCTTCCAGTCACACAAAACTGACAACTGATCTTACACAGTCCCGTAGCGTTGTGGTTAGTGTGCTCGCACGGCAAGCAAGAGGACCTGGGTTTGATTCCCGAGCAGGGCAAAACCTTAGGCAAGTTTCCTTATTCCACACGCCTGTTTACCTAGCAGTAAGCAGGAACCTGGTTGTTAGTCAATTGCTGGGTTGTTTTCCAGGGGTAATAATCCCTCTCTCCAAAAAATAATAATTTGGTCACTCAATCCATGACTGTTTGTGGGACACTGCTGTGTGCAATTGGCTGCCGCGTTTTGCCCATAAAATACAACGAATCCGCTTTACAGTATATTCTCTGAAACGCTTTGAGACATCTCAACAATGTGTTAAGGTGCTATATCAAATGCAAGGATTATTATTATTATTAAATTATTATTATTATTATTATTATTATTATTATTATTATGTGTTTAAAATTATAAAAGGTTTTGTAAGGTTAACACAAAAAGGCTGTTCCTACTGGTTGGATAGTCTGTAACATGGGATATCAGTATAAGATAGCGACTAAGGGATCAAAAGAGAATTTAGGAGGAACTATTACATGCAACAACAACAACAACAAATTACATTTATATAGCGCCTTCAGGAAGACATCCCAAGTGCAGAGAGTAGTGAGATTGTGGAACTTGCTGGCCGAAGCGGAGGTTGAAGCACATAGTAACATAACATAACATAACATAACATAACATAACATAACATAACATAACATAACATAACATAACATGTAGGAGCAGGAGTAAGCCATTCGGCCCTTCGAGCCTGCCCGCCATTCAATCATGGCTGATCTTCTAATCTAACTCCAGCTAATAGTGTAGATACATTCAAAAGGAAGCTCAACCTTCAGATGAGGAAGAGGGGAACAGAAGGTGTGGGAGGGAGTAAAGAATGGGTGAATACTTGTGTGGAGTATAAACACCGCACAGACTGGTTGGGCTGAGCATCCCGTTCCTATGCTATGCATTCTTGGTTCAAGATCCTGGTCCTCACCTACAAAGCTCTCCACTGCCTTGCCCCACCCTACCTCTGGGACCTCCTAACCCCCTACCAAGCCGCCCGCTCCCTCCGCTGAGCCGGCTCCGGCCTGCTCACATCCCCCAATCCACCCGCACCACCATTGGTGGGAGAGCCTTCAGCCACTCTGCCCCCAACCTCTGGAATTCCATCCCTCAATCACTCCGCCTCTCCCCCTCCTTAGCCTCCTTCAAGTCCCACCTCTAAACCCTCCTCTTCGACCATGTCACTGGTCACCCCCCTTCCCCTCCCCTCCCTTCTCTCTCCCTGACCCAGCTTGTGTCTGAAATGCTGCACTGTCAGCGCTTTGGGACGTCCTCAAGATGTTGTGAAAGGCGCTATACAAATGTAATCTTGTTGTTGTTGTTGTTTGTAAACTGAGACCTTGAGCTTGTAGTCTGGGCTAACACTGCAGTGCAGTTGCCGGGGAAAGCATTGCACTGTCAGTGTTGCCGTCCTTCAGATCAGTTACAACAAGTGCTTTGAGACGTTTTCCCGACATGAAAGGCTCTGTATAAATTTAAGTTGTATTGTATTGGGCCAGCTAGAAGGGAGATCAGAAAACATTTGGGATCTTGAGCTCACAGTCCAGGCTGACACTTCTGTGCAGCATTGGGGGAGCTCCGTATTGTCAGAAGTGCTGTCTTTTGGGTGAGACTTTAAACCGAGTTACTGTCTATTCCTGTTCAGGTGGATGTTAAAGATCCTGTTGCCCTACTCGAAAAGAGAAGAGGGTTTCTCTCCCAGTGTCCTGGCCAACAATCCCTCAAGTAAAATCAATCATTCACTTGGGACCGTGTTGGGATGTTGCTATGCATCAATTGGCTGCTGACTTGGCCTGCAGAATACACAGTTACTTTTTTTTTGAAAATATATATTTATTTATAAATATAATATTTAGTACACCAGAAATCCCAAACAAATGCAACATCTTCTGTTACAATGTTTCCCTTTTCTCCCGATCCCCCCCAAATTCCGTTGTTTACGGTACATTCCTTCATCGCACAAAGGTTGTGCACACGTTTTTTGGGACACTCCCTTTAACGCAGTCGGCAGTCGTCCCTGTGTACACCACATCCATGTGCGCACCCGCACGCACTTGTCACTTTCGGAAGGCGCCCCGATGTGCATCGTACGCGCACATGTTTACTGTACGTACATTTGTGGGACGCTGTTTGGTTACAATTCGAGTGTCCTTCTGTACTCTTAATTTAATCAGTTTTGGGTGCACTTGTGGGCTACTCGGTGGGTGCGCCCTGAGCGGGTTGTGCCAGAGCGGCTCCTACCAGGGTCAGGCCCCATCTGGCCTTTGCCGTGGTTGAGCCGATCTTCAGCTTGTCCCTCAGTATATAGTCCTTGATCCTCGTGTGCGCGAGCCTGTGGCAGGCCCTCACCGTACCCTCGTTCTGCCCGAAGAACACCTGGTTTCAGGAGTGGCAAAGGGCCTCCTACCGAGTTTATGATCCTCCAGGCACTCGATGTGGGTTTTGCTGTGAGTGCCCGGGAACAGGCCGTAAAGCCCCGAGAGCCGTGACAGCAGATCCCCAGGGACAAACCGCGAGAGAATCCATTCCATCTTTTTCCAAACCACCTTTGCGGAACAACACTCCAGGAAGAGGTGGTCCAGTCTCCTGGCCTCTGCAGCCGGCCCGAGGGCAACGTGCCGACTGGCCCAGACCTCGACCGTACATGAAAGCCCTGAGGGGGAGAGACTCTTTTATCGGCAGCCAGGCCATGTCCTGATGGTTGTTGGTCAGGACGGTGACGAGATGTTTTGCCAGACGTAGCTGGCTGTCGCCGCAGGGTACCTCCTGACTGGGTCTGCCCTCTCCCCCTTTCAAACTGTTTCGACAACCTGCCGCGTGGACCACTCGGTTATTACGTGGGGGTCTGAGATGTTGTTCTTCAGGAATTTCTCAACATAGGATAGGTGTTTCAGCTCCAACTGTGAGGAACATTTCGAGGCAGTTCTGCCAGACCCACGATTCTTAGCACCGGGTACAGGTAGAAGCCCAGCAGGTAGTGGCATTTGTTGCCGGTGGAGCAGGGCTCCACGCACAGCCTCAGGCAGCTACACACAAAGGTGGCCATACGGATCAGGGCTACATTGGGGACCTCTTTCCCCCACTTTTCCGTGGTTTTATGCATTGTGTCCCTGTAGACACGATCCATCTTGGACCCCCAGATCAGGTGGAAGACTTCCCTGGTGACTGCAGTGATGTTCTAGGTCAAAGGCCAGACCTGGGCCACATACAGTAACATCGAGAGGGCCTCACATTTTATCACCAGGTTTTTCCCGATGATGGGCAGCGAGCACTGGTGCCACATCACCAGTTTCTTCCTCACTGTGCCTGACACACCTCCCAGCTTTTTTGGTGCACCCCAGCAGCCCCGAACCAGATACCGAGGATTTTGATGTAGTCTGGCTTCATCGCAAAAGGTATGTCATTGCGTTCTTTCCAGTCTCCAAAATACATCACCTGGCTTTTCTGACAGTTAACCTTAATAATAATCCTTGCATTTGATATAGCGCTTTTCACGTCAGGAGGACGTCCCAAAGCGCTTCACAGAACACACTGTAAAGTGAATTGACTGTATATTTGTGGGCGAACCTTGGGTCCCGAGGCTTGTTCAAACTGGTCACAAATGCCTAGCAGACTCAAGACCAATTTTTGGTCTATGCAAAAGACGGTGACCTCATCCATATATAGGGAGGCCTTGACTTGTGAGTCGTGGCTGCCCGGGATAGTGACACCTCTGATGCTCTTGTCCCTCCCGATGGCCTGTGCAAAGGGTTCGATGCAGCAGACAAACAGGGTGGGGGATAGGGGACAGCCCTAACTCCAAACCTGATGGGGAATGGCTCAGTCTTGTACCCGTTTACTGTGACTGCGCTTCAGATGTCTGTGTGGAGCAGTTGGATCCACTTTTGTATTCCCTCCCCAAAGCTCATTTTGGAGAGTAGCTCATCCATGTAGCTGTGAGATACCTTATCAAAGGCTTCCTCTTGATCAAGGCTTATCAGACAGGCCTTTACCCCTCCTTGAGTCAGAAGTTCAAGCCCCTACATCTCACTATGAGCGCTTTCAGCTAAATTATTTCTCTTCAGTGTCAGTGTGTGTTGGGATGTGACAGTGTGACTGTGTCAGTGAGTATCAGTGAGTGACACAGTGTGATAGTGTGTGACACACCACACATACAATCCCCCCACAACCACACCCACACACACACAACCCACCCGACACACATCCCTACACACACAGCACCCCCCACACACAAACCCCCCCCACCCACATAAACACAACTCACCCCACACACGCCCCTCACACACATACACAACCTCCCCCCCTACACACACAATCCCCCCACCCACACACACACACAACCCCTCCCACCCACACCCACACACAACCCCTCCCACCCACACCACACACAACCCCTCCACACATACACACGCAGACACGCCCCCCACACACCCCACCCACACACAACACCGCCCCCCCCCCCACCACACGCACACACGCTTGTCCCCCACACACAAACATGCACACAATCCAAACACCCCTCACTACTCTCCAACCCCATCCTCTCAGCCCGAAAGTCAATGAATGAGTCAGAGGACTGCACGTTCTTATAAATACTCTTCCTTTATTGGTGCGACGTGGCTCAGCATGTGACCCTGAGCGACTGTGTCAGGCTGTAGCAGTCGTTAGTCCCAGACTTGCACACACCGGGCTCCTCACGCCGAGGCTCGGGCCCGCCATGACCGCCTGGGCCCCCACCGTGGACGCCAAGTACGGAGTGGGTGAGTGCGGCCGGTGCTTTCCTGTCAACTGTGTCTTACAGATAAGTGCAAGGCTTTCACAAGGTCCTGGCATTGTCGTGTTCCTCTCTGCTGCTGCTGTGTTCACTGCCACTGAGTGCAATTTCCTGCTCAGCCATTTGACGAGTTGACACAGCCACAGACGCTTGCACACACACACACACACACACACCGCGCGCGCGCTCACACGCATGCTCGCTCACAAACATACACTGACACAATTGCACTCACATACACACAACTGCAATATTACACTCACACATAAATACACAAACAGTTGTGTAGTTTAAGTGGTTAGATCACTCACCTCGCAAGCGAGAGAACCTGGGTTCGATTCCTGGGCAGCGCAAAACATTGGGTAATTTTCATTACTCCACATGCCTGTGTTCACCTAGCAGTAAGTAGTAACCCGGTTGTTAGTCAATTGTCAGATCACTTTTTGGAGAGAATCATTTCTTCAAAAAAATAATAATAATTTGGTCACTCAATCCACTACTGATTGTGGACACTGCTGTGTGCAATTGGCTGCTGCGTTTCGCCCACAATATATACAGCCAATTCACTTCACAGTATATTCTGTGAAGAGTTTTGAGACGTCTCGGAGACGAGATAAGGCACTATATCAAATGCAAGGATTATTATTATAAACACATACACGGCTACACACATTCACAAACACACAAATACATACAAGTATACATCCACGCACGAGACATACACAACCACACACACACAGTGAGTGAGCGAGACACACACATACACACAGGTTGTTGAAAATAGGAACGGTGAAAAATGAAAATGGAAAAGTCACTACTAGCAATATAAGAAGTGAGACTCCACATTATGTGCAGTGTTGGGTTTATGCGGTTTTGTGCATGTGTGTGTGATGGTGTGTGTGTTTGTGTGTGTGTGGATGATTGTACGTGTGTGTCAGTTTGCAAAACTGTGTATATGTGAGTGAGTGTGAGTGAATATGTATGAGTATGAGTGTGTGTGAGCAAGTGGGGTGAGGGGTCGGGGGGGCAGTGTGGTGGGGTGCTACACCTGTGATGCCATGAATGTTGGGCACTGTGCAACTGAGTAAATAATAATAATATATAATAATAATCCTTGCATTTGATACAGCACCTTATCATGTCGTTGAGATGTCTTAAAGTGCTTCACAGAATATATTGTAAAGTGGATTGACTGTGGGCAAAATGCAACAGCCAGTTGCGCACATCAGTGCCCACAAACAGTCGTTGATTTAGTGACCAACTTTTTTGAAGGATTAAGACTCCCAGAAAGTGATCCACCAATCAACTTACAACCAGGTTCCTACTTACTGCTAGGTAAACAGAGGTGTTTCTCTTCCAGGACCACACCCCACCCCCTCCACCCCGGCATCCTTGTCTTTACAGCAGATGAGAGAGGGGAGGGAGCCTGAGGTGAACAGAGAGTCAGAAATTTAGAGAAGTTAGTTGTTTGGTACAGAGGGCTGTGGGGGGTGGGGGGGGGTGAGAGCTCACTCTGTGCTCACTCCGCACTTCCCCACTTCTACAACCTGTTTACATCTCACACTCTTATCTGCCCTCTCCACTCGGCTGGTTCTGACCTCCTGGATGTGCTTCTGCTCCCCTATCAGCAGCCGTGCTTTCAGCCACTACACCCAGAGACTCCGGAACTCTCTCCCTCAGTCCCTTGCCCCCTCCTTCCCGATCTTCAGATCAAACCTGGAGAGCTTCCTCCTCAATCGTTCGTACAGTCACCTCCCCGCTTTCCGCCCAGCTCAGCGTCAGGTTCAGCCACTGTTAAGCTCTTTGAGACGCTGCCCTGTGTGAAGGGCACTATGTAAATGCAAGTTATTTTTATTAGTGTAGGGTGTCAGCCTGGCTCAGTCGGTATTTGGGGCAGCCAAATTACACACAGAAAGGTACCCACAAACAGCCAGGAAGGGAATGATCGATTTTATTTGAGGGATTGTCAGCCAGGATACCAAGGGAGAGAGAAACTCACTTTTCTTTTGGATTACTACGTGGGATCTTTAACGTCCACCTGAACTGGCACAGATGGGACCTCAGGTTTAACATCTCATCCAAGGAGATGGATGTGATGGAGTTAACGCATCTCACAGCAGCTGTGTTTGCAGTTTTAACCTGTGTATTTATCAGTGCAGATATGTACTAGATTCAATAGTAGCTTTCAAAACGGATTTGGATAGGTACTTGAAAAGGAAACATTTGCAGGGCTATGGGGTTAGAGCGAGGCAGTGGGACTAGTTGGACAGCTCTTTCAAAGAGCCGGCACAATCACAAAGGGCCGAATGGTGTAAGATTCTATGATTTCCAGATACTTTTAACTCCTCGAGTGCACGTAGACCGAGCGAGTCTGAGCGCTCCGTGCTCTACAGAAGTCCTCAAGCCACTGGGTGAGAATAAATAGCCCAGCCAGATGTGCAGTGCAGGCCAGGCCAGACACAACAAGCCACAGGTCCCACACACACTCTCTCACATCAAAGTGCCTCATATGAAAAATCGTCATAAGCAACTTTACTGCACAAGACAGAAAATTCTTGTGAGAGACTCAACCAGAGAGAGCGAGATTGAGATTGAGAGAGAGAGATTGAGAGAAAGAGACAGAGACACAGAGCTGTAGATAGAGAGAGAGAGGCAGAGACTGAGAGAAAGAGAGAGAGATTCAAGGAAAGAAAGGGATCCAGAGACAGAAAAAAAGAGATTGAGAAGGAGAGAGAAAGAGAGAGAGAGAGAGAGATAAAGAGGCAGAGAGAGATAAAGAGACAAAGAGATAAAGGGACTGAAAGAGTCATTGAGAGAGAGAGGCAGAGAGAGATAGACTAAGAAAAAGAGACTGAGATAAATAGACAGAGGGAGAGCAAGAGACCGAGAGGCTGAGAGAAAGAGAGACGGAAAGCGCAAGATAAAGAGTCAGAGGGAGACAAAGCGACTGAAAGAGTCAGTGAGACAGAAAGAGTTAGTGCGGGAGAGAGAGACACTGAAAGAGTCAATGTGTGTGAGAGAGAGAGACAGAGCACGAGTCAGTGAGAGGGATTTCCCGGACTTTGGAATAAAGGGAACTACTGTAATTATTAAAAGGAAGCTGGACTTATGTTAACCAATCACTCAGAAAAGTGAAAGATAACTTGCTTTTTACAGTAACTCAAAACTGGGGGAAGAACTCTTCCCACTCAGCTCCTGTTAACCCTGCAAGCCAAAGGTCTAAAGGGTATGATAATTCCTTCCAAAAAAATAATAATTTGGTCACTCAATCCACAACTGTTCGTGGGACACTGCTGTGCGCAATTGGCTGCTGTGTTTCATCCACAAAATATACAGTCAATTCACTTCACAGTATATTTTGTGAAGAACTTTGAGACGTCTCAAAGATGTGATAAGGTATTATATCAAATGCAAGGATTATTATTATTTATTATTGTCCTAAATGGACAAGCAGCAGGGAAGCTTGCCAGACATTGATATCAATGGCAAGCTATGTGGTTTTAGTTGGTTAGACTCCAGCAATTACCCCAACGCACACTCAGGGGTCCCCAAATCTTGTCTCTTGACAACCTGTGTCTAATGCCCTCCAGGATTAGGTAGCATTCCACCAATGTGAAAGGTGCTATACAAAGGTAATTTGTTGTTGTTGTTGTTGTAAACAAAGGCTGACCCCCCTGGGTAGAGAGAGATAGAGAGAGAGAATTTCATTCCAAACAGAGGAGAAAATAATAACAAAAATAAATGATAATTGCATTTAGTTCAGCGGCTTTCATGTCAGGAAGACATCTCAAAGCACTTCACAGAATTTAATAATAATAATAATGCTTGCATTTGACACAGAACCTTATCAAGTCTTCGAGATGTCTCAAAGCGCTTCACAGGATATACGATAAAATGGTTTTGACTGTATTTTGTGGGCAAAACACGGCAGCCAGTTTGTACACAGCAGTGTTCCACAAACAGCCTTGGAGTGAATGACCACATTTTTTATTTGCGGGATTGTTGGCCAGGACATCGGGACAGAGAAACTCCCTTCTCTTTTCGAATACTGTAGGCCATTAGATCTTTAACATCCATCTAAACAGGCAGATTCAACATCTCACCTGAAGGATGGCACCTCCAACAAAGCAGTGCTCCCCTCAATCCCCCACCCCCCCAGCCCCCCACCCCATGCACTGCACTGAAGCATCAACAACAACATTCAAACAACAACAACTTGCTTTTACGTAGCGCCCCCTCACACTGGGTAGCATCCCAGAACACTTGGCAGTGGCGGAGCATAGCGCCAAACTGGGGGGAGGTGACTGTAGGCACAGTTGAAGAGGAAGGTCGTCAGGCGCAATCTGAAGATGGGGAAGGAGGGGGCAAGGTGGAGCGATTGAGAGAGAATTCCCAGTCCTAGTGGCTGAAAATGCGGCCACCGATAGTGGAACGCAGGCCAGTAGCCAAGACTGTGAGCTATGAATTAGAGAATGTGCGGGTTTGATCCCATAACCTTCTGACCCAGAGGCAACCTTCTACCATCGAGCCAGGATTACACCTCGTGCAGGCTGAATTGCAACAAAAGTTCATATTGTGTAGATTAACTCCTTCAGAAAGAGAGCTGGATGTATCTGGTTGGGAACAGCATGGAAGGATAGAGGGATAAGTGTGGACAGTGATAGCCTCGTATCTCCATGACTAGACCCATCTGTAGCTAGGGTTGATATCGGTCAGCCTGGCTCAGTCAGTAGTAATCTCATATCTGAAGCAGCAGGTTGTGGGTTCAAGCCGCCACTTTGGGACTTTGAGCTCACAGTCTGGGCTGACGCTCCAACACAGTGCTCGGAGGGTGCTCGGGAGGTACGGGTGGGGGGAGATTGTTGCATTGTTGGAGGCACTTTTGGATGAGATATTAAACTGAGGTCCCATCTGTGCCCTGGACGCTAAAGTGTCCTGATCAACATTCCCCAAGATAAAATCAATCATTCAATGCATGGCTGTTTG